CGATATTTCCAAGGACATTTATCGACGATGTCCAAAACTGCAGTCATTGGTAATTATTGATTATAAGAAGGTTTGGCAGATACGCTTACTTTAAATTGACCCAATTGTGAAAAAACTCGGGGCGCTCTGTGGGATTTGAACCCGCGTATCAGAGAAGGCCTTTGCCGGAAGCCAATGTTCTAACCGCTAAGCTACAAAAGCCCCACCTCAACCCATGAATTCAATCACACTTGGGTCGATATTACCCGCCCAACTTTACTGCCCGTATGGGATCCACCGTTACGGAACAACAAGCTGACTGCCCAAGCTGAATTTCCCAAGCAATCATCTTGAATCCACCAGAATTACTACTAGGCTGACTTATTTATTATTATTATTATGGATAACTTTTGATTTTCCGGTGTTCTGCGTTTATGCGCCTAATGTTGCACCTTTTGTATGGATTTTTTTGCTGAAAAATGTGGAATGATGTTTTAAAAATAAAGCATTTTTTTATCTCTCTCTCTCTCGTTCTGATACTTATGCAGAGACCAGAGAGCCTGAATCCGCTCATTAATTTATCCAACAGGACGGGAGGCGTATTTTAAGAAAAGTGTAAGTGCACTGAACAGTCTGCTGGAAGAAAAGTCAGACGTACTGCCAAGCTGTATCTCTAGCATTCAAAGAAAAACCAATTGCACGCGTAAGTTGCAGACAGTTTGGTAGTACTAGTTTTATAGTAGTTTCACTAGTTTTACACTCTAGTACGACGGAGTAATAATACCTAAAATTTGTGTAGTACACAAAAGACGAGCAAAATCCTTACGTAGATAGTCTATGGAAAATATTCTTTGCGTTAATTGTCTACGGAGGAGGGGGATGAACTGAGTCAGCTGTTGAAATCTGAGCCGCTAGACCCGTCTTGTAGACGGAAGTTGAACTGGTACAATTGACGACAGATGGCCCCGTTCACCACCATCATCGTTTGGTATCAAATACGATGACGTAGGTCACCCCTCCGAGCGTTTCCACAGCTTGATATTCGCCAACAGGA